TAGTATAGTTTTTATCCCGGTTTTTGAAACGGACGCGCGCGATAAAGTTTTTCTGTGACAGACGAAATTCCACGCGGGTGAAGCCGCGAGCGGAAAGCTAGTAAATAATAATCTTAAAAAAAAACAAAAATATTATTATCATGGTCAGCATTGATTAAATATCTACTCAATACTCAATCGTATAAACAAGACCTTGAAAAAAAAAATGTATCACAGTGAACTCTGTTGACTGGGCAGACCCCCCAAAAACTATTTTGTCGATTTGAACATCATTTTATTTTTGCGAGCCTTTAGTAACGTATTAAGTTTAAGTTCAGCTTTGGTTAATGTGTATAAAAGTTTTAATTAAATAATTAACGCCATCTAGCGATTCTGTTACGCGAGGCTTTACTAAATGTATGAACGTTTGCCAAACCTGAGATTAACTACTCTTTTAGTAACTAGATGTCGCTGTACGTAGTTGACTCGCGATATCATTTGATTTTTTCCCGTCCTTAAAGGGGTTCACAACATCATTCATAGATGATGTAAACTCGTGTTTAAAACACAGAATAATAATAAGTACTACGCGTATGAATACGCGTGCGTGATATTTTTGGATCGGTCGCTAAGTAGACTTGCTTAGGCGTACCGTTAAATTAGTATTATGACTGTTTGAATATTGCAAACCAATCCGCGTTTCACGTGTGTATGTAGCACTATCATATGTATAGCCCGCGTAGGTAGGAAAAACATTGTCCTACTAATATTATAAATGCAAAAGTATGGATGTTTGTTACTCTTTCACGCAAAAACTACTGAACGGATTTTGATGAAACTTTACAGTGTTATTTATTGTTTATAATCCAGATTAATATATTTTAGGCTATAATTTATGACGATCTGTGACAAACGAAATTTCACGCGGGTGAAGCCGCGGGCAAAAGCTTAAAAGCTTTTCAAATAAATTGCCTAAATGTTGACATTTATCTACAGGGTGTTAGGTAAATGGGTATATGAGCCGACACTAGCCCATGTTAACATATGCATATTATAAATGGTATGGTGAAGTCAGAAATTTGATATCATATTTTTTTTTATTTTATTTTTATACAAAATAAATTTTATAAAATCTGATTTGTATGAAAATTAAAATAATTAAAATCAATTTTCTGACTTCACCATACCATTTATATGCCCATGTTAACATGGGCTAGAGTCGGCTCATATACCCATTTACCTAACATCCTGTAGATAAATGTCAACATTTAGGCAATTTATTTGAAAACTGAAATTACCTTTAGTATTTACTAATTACTAATACATTGAAAATTAAAAACTAGAGCCTTATCAAGTAGTTAAACGCGCGTTGAACACTTCTTTAAATGGACATTGAGTAAGGATGGACATTTATAAATCAGTGGCTACGTGATTTTAACTTTTTTGTAATAACACTGAACAGAACTGTTTGGCGAAGAACATGACCAATTACAATTTATATGTAATAGGAATACTGTAAATCGTTCAAAAAATTCATTTGCATATTGAAAGAGTACCTACTTACACACAAACTAGAAAATGTAGGTACTATCAATCGCCTACTTTCACTGATAACAGTGATAGCCCGCATTTATTCTATTTAGGTCGAAAAACCGAAAAACATGTTTATCTACGTACCACAGTCGAACTAGTTCAAAGAAAAAGTACCAGGCTCGCATAAAAACTAGGAGATAACGCTATCGGTGCATCCGGGTGGTTTCACTCGGCGCCAACAATCGGCAGACGTGTGAACTGAACATTCTACTAAGCCATGAGTTCCTGGTACTTCTCACTTTCTAGCTTCGCTAAAAATACAGTAATTACGTAATTATCGGCTAAATACCAGAAAATTATGGCACGGATCCGACATCAATATAGAAATTATGTTTTCATTGTGCTCGTATAAAATAATGAAGTAATCAACTACCGATTATGTTGCTTAAACCAAAAAGAATGAGTTGTGTCCTTCCTCTTTAATAAATAGTCGTTATAACTTTACATAAGTCTCTTATAACTGGGAAAAGTCGACTTATTAAGCTGTAACTTTTTGTAGAAGAGAGAGGCAGAATCTACTTGCTGTTAATCAATAAGGAAAATCCAGTGATCCTTATATGCCCTGGGCCCCCAGTAAGTTAAAGAGGGCCCTGTGTGCTTACCATAAGTTTACGTTAAGTGTGCTCGCTAGCGACTGCGTAAAAATTACATTAAATGTATGAAATGTTGTGTAGAGCCCCTAGCGGCTACTTTCAAGAAATAAAATCTTCATAGATTTTTTGACGTACTCGCTAGCGAGCACACCTAACATAAACTCATGTTAAGCACACTGACCACCCTACTACCTACTATGTTTATAAAGTAAAAGTGTAATTAGATTACATACATATTTGGAATGAATATTACATTTTCACAAAAAAGTAAGCTTTTCTGCCCTACATCGAACTGTTTATCTTGGTTATTTTTCTACAATTTTATCTTACGTGAAAGCTACTAAAACGGAGAGGATATTACAAAATTGACGTATTAGGTCAACCACGCATCGGCAGGAAAAGTTTAATAGAAATAACTACATGTGGTCATTAAATACGTGGTTACACAAAAAAGGCAATGTAAAGGCACCGCGCCGTGATGTACGCCGCTTAGAATTCTTGATACTGGTAGCAGGAAAATTAAAGGGTACTAACTGCGTTTGATAGTTGACATTCTGTTAGGGATTCTGTGGAAGTCAATCTGTTGATCATGGCCAATCATGGGTGGACCAAGACCTGTTTTACAAAATAGTAACTATCATTACATTACAACCATATTTAGCTAGTTGTGTTATATGTTAAAAGTTGACAAGAGTGTTTTCTTCTTTATTTTTCTTTGCATACTTGTAGTATAAAACAAAGTTGCTCCAGCTATCTATTCGCTTAGATATTTTAAACTACGCAACTTAATACAGTTTTCAGCAACATGTCTCAAGAGGAAGTTTTATAAAAGGGCTGCTATACTTGCTAGTATAGAATAAATAGATTCTCAAGAACATGAAAGTTCTAATAATATTTTTGTTGAATTCTGTTAAAAAGTATTTAAATAGCGTTTTTGACGATCGCGCGATAAATACTTACTACGTCTAAATACTTTCATATGTGGTATAATATTTTAACTACGATGTACAGGGAGAAGCCACGGGTCGAAAGCTAACATTGCTCATATTAATTGATATAATATTGGACCATAATTATTCGTATACAGCTAAAGATTCGTTAGTCGTGTCGCCAAATGCAAATAATAGAGAAAGGCGTCCTAAGGAGTTCAAGGCAGATAAGTCAAGTTTGTACTATCTAAAATACTCTATAGAATGTATGGTTGTACAGTCAGTACATCAGACCATACATTTTCGTTGCAAAATAGCTCCTATTGCAACAACATAATGCCATAGTGTAAAGCTTGATGTGCTTTTGTCTGTATGATGACCACTCGGCGGTTGAGTGGCTAGAGATCGACTACTTCGTAAGTTTCTGGATTCGATTCTCAGATGAGATACAATGAGGATATTATGTGACATTTCTGCCTCTTTTCATCATCATCATCATCATCATCAGACATCATTATTTATCATCTTAGCCACAAGACGGCCACTGTTTAATATAGGCCTCCCCCAAAGACATATTTAGCGATTCCTCCTACCTTTTAGAGGTCGTCGGTCCACCTTGTGGGTGGAAGTACCACGCTACACTGGTATGTAGCCTCTACTCCAGAATCTTGCTGCCCCATCGGCCAATAATTCTGCCACTTCGGCTTGTTAATCCGTCGGGCTAATCAATGAGTTTAGTTCTTTTACTTAATAGTTTTCAAAATAGCCCTTAAGTATTCATTTTCTTCCCAATTATAATTAAGTAAGAGAGCTGAGAACGAGAACAATTACAGGGCAATCTCAAGGAAAGTCACTGGCAGCATTGTATTTAGTTAGTTGTAGTGGTAGATATGGATCTTTACACACTATGTTTAGAGATTATATCACTTACAGAGAGGAGAAAAGTGTTTCTTTGGCTCGTTTCTACAATGTTGTGAGATTGAAAACTTTAATAAACAAGTTAAATGTAACTCTAATTTACTAAAAAAACTTTTAATCCGTTAAATAAATTATCAAAAATAACTGGACACGTAATTTTTTTATTTGTCAATCAAACAAGTAATTACGAAGTTATGATGCGTTGAAGTTCCGCGTGACGTCACAAAGTGTTACACTATTAAGCGCTCCTTGATGTCACGGGCTTCTTCTTTTGAACTTTGGCGCGCTTTATCTCTTTAAATTGTCATTAGTTTGAAAAAGTGAAAAATACGTGTTGATATACTTAGGCCAAAACCTGGTAAATTGACGAGAGTCCTGCAGTGAAAACTAAATACTTGATGATGATGAAAGAAATGATGGCCGTGTGGTGACTCATCCCGCGGGTGTCGTAAGAGGCGACTTAGGGACTACACATCAAACAGAGAACGGGCAGCAGCGCTCTCTGAAAAACATCAATCTTTTAAACTGCGATCTCCAACCCGCCTGCCAAACGTGGGGATTATGGCAAAACCCTCCACTATAGTGGAGGAGGCTCATAGTCTAGCAGTGGACTGTAAAGGGCTGTTGATGATGATGATGATGAAAAAAATAGAACACAATTTTATTTCTTTTCGTGAAAGCGATTTGATATTTATTCGATAGCGAATGTAACATTGTCTAGATGCCCCGATAACAATCGATTCTTTTGATATACAAACTACACATTCCATCAATGTAAAAGTTAGAAGTGTTACGGAACTGTCAGATATCGACGCAATCGCTGACTGACATAATTCGCTGGCAAAAAGTGCAAGCTTCCCATCAGTTTCCATAGATATGCATCGCAAACAATAGGCTTCGTTAGGGCTGTGTGTTGTAAAAAGTTCGTGTAATTCTGATGCAGCCATCTTGTATTTCAAGGCAGGCAGTAGGTTACTATGCTATAGGTATGGCTCTAGCAGAAACTACACTCAAAACAATGTAAAGTTTGTACAAAAATATGAGACTTTTTCTTAGTCAATCCGTTGTCTTTTTCTAAATTAACTTAAAAAACAAGCAGAGACAACCTATGCATAGTTAATTTTAGACGACAAATTCATATCATTTTAAATTTTATTGTACTTACAAAAATTCCACTATAAATTCGTGTTTCTTGCTATTCTGTTTTGGACATTTACTAAAAAGGAGACCGTCATTTCTTTATTGTTTGTAGTAAATCCACGTTTCTCGCATAATATCAAAAATTTACGTTAAAATTTATTTTAAAAATTCTTATGCCCGTTTTCACCATCCATCCCTAATTTTTAAGTGACCCCTATGAAAAATTTCTTTTAAATGTTACCATAGGGGTAGGGATTGATGGTGAAAATGCGCAGTCATTTTCAAATGAGGAGGCAGCCCTATAAAATGTTCGATGCGTAGGCGCAACCCGCTATAGCAATACATCTCTTATGATGGTGTATTCATGCTCGTTATGTAACACGGATGTTGTTTGAAGGTGTTTGGATTTGACATTATGACACTGCTGCTTAAAGTTTGGGATCAATACTTGCGTGATAAAACCTGAAGTTTGACACTTGTTTTGACAAGTGTCAACCTACATTGATGGATAGCTGTCACCTTTTCGGACGTTTGGCTAAGATCAATATAGTTCCAAAATACTGAACTGTCCTATCAATGACATTGATAGTGGGGCGCCACCGTCAATACCGGATCGCTGGTTTCGATTTTTGCCATGTTGGAAACCATATAGTTGAACGATGGTAGCGCCCCCCTGTCATTGAGTTTGGTGGGACAGTTCAGCGTGGGTCATCTATAGTAGGTATTTTAGGGTAGCTGCCAAAGCCACGATAGCCCAAACTTCATGATTGTCCATCGTTCTTCTCTAAGCTGTGTTGGGAGCATGATCTGACAAACTTTCAGTTTTTATAAAATAACGAAGGTCTGGTGTTCACGGGCTTTTAGTCAAAAGCAATGGAGATCTATCTCTTAAGCTAGTGCTAACTTCAGTGGGTGCTATTTTTATACTTTCAATTTTACGGTTAATTTCTTATGCCCGTATTCACAAACGATGCTTGCTTAAGTGAAGCAGCAAATAGAATCCACAGCATTGAATATAGCTCTGTGATTGGTTCGTGTGTCACCCTGTGCGTCCACGCGCACTGTGAGACCTCATAGTAATGTTTGTGAATACGGGCGTTAATATTTGATATCTACTGTATTTGTTATTAAGTATCTGACTGAAGATGGCTGAAAAAGCTAGATTCCATGATCTGGTAGTGACTTTTGGGGAAAACTACGTCCAGCAGTGGACTGACATAGGCTAAAATACTTAGTCATGCGTACTTTGATACACCTATAAGTTTAGGACCATAGTATCAATTACATATTATTATTATAATGGTATGATTACTCGTACTTAAACACATAATTATCAAAGTACCTCATAATTACCTATTTTATGACTTAATGAACGGGAACAGATAATAAAGCCTGATCCACTGTAACAACAACAACAGTTACTGTACAATCAACCATAATACTTACACAAGTTTGACCCTTAAGCCCTTCATTACAAGTTTCAAAACTACTTCAGAACTTTACCATAACTTCACGACCTTTTATGAACTAGAAATAAGATCGAACCTGTAACCCAGTACCTTGCAAAGAAATTTGGATTTTATGCTTTTATTAACAAGTTGTAAATCGCAATTTATGGTAGTGCTGCGCCGGCGCGTGTCAAATCGCGCGATGTTCCCGCGCGTGCGGTTGCGAAATATTGGTTGCGTAATCGGGAGCGGTTCCGTGGATCGATGCCCGGTGTGGACACGACCTATGTTTTTGTTTACTGAGATTTCCTTTTGAGCGATGAGGAAATGTCTTTGCTACATCTAGGATATTTATGTACCAACGAAATTGTACTGTAGAATAAATTAATGATTTGGGGGAAATCTTGACTTGTATGATCCGGTGAAGTAGCTCTTACCTTGCGCCTAAAAGGGCCTTGTTTGGCTTTAATTAATTTTGGGAAATGTGTTTGTGTGTAAGACATCTCATGATCAAATAAACTGCTTTTACCCGACTGCGTCAGAAGGATTATCTATAGATACTATCTATACTTCTATACTATCTTACTATACTAATACATTTATAAATGCCAAAGTAACTCTGTCTGTCTGTCTTGCTTTCACGCCTAAAACTGAAGCGATTCTGATGAAACTTGGCATAGAGATAGTTTGAGCCCCGGGAAGGGACATAGGATAGTTTTAATCCCGGTTTTTGATATGGGGAGACGCGCCATAAAGTTTTTCTGTGACAGACAAAATTTCACGCGGGTGAAGCCGCGGGCGGAAAGCTAGTGTTTTTTATAAAACGCACCAATCTGCATCATTGGCCAGTTACTTATAAAAAAAAGTTTTTAAACGCCTGCTTGCTATGGTACTTAATGAGAACTAGGGTTTAAATAAGGTCTATAAATTATTACACAGCTTTTTAGACTTTTTGTCTGATTAGTGTCAATGTGCTTTGCAAAAAAACATTTCATTTCACCTTCATAGTCTACGGCTATAGGCCATATCGCAACCCATATTTACGCGTGTCAAATCGACTAGATGCGCGCGCGCCGATGATTGTGAAATACTACGGCTACTGGCGATCAAATGTTTATGGGGGATTCGATGCGTAGGCTGTTAATTTTGATTGCTCCTATTAATGGTTCTGCTTTGATAAAAGATGTTTGTTACACTAAAGAAATGAATCGTCCTAAAAAAACTGAGAATTTTCCACCTGGGAATTGATCCTTTAGAGCCATTTTGCCAAGAATTAGGCGTACCTAATTGTACCTTTTTTTGTTCACAATGAAGAAACTGGAAGAATCAGGCCGAAGGTGGAAGGGAACTTCACCCGGAATCCTCAACCACAGAGGAACTGGCCATATAACTTTCAACTGCCGAAATACATCAACGCTGTTAACATTACATACCTGTATCAAATTTTTATGATGTAGTTATAGACGCTGAAAAGCAGCGTTCGTGGCCTTCGTCACCGTGGGCCACGGCATATGCTGAGTGGGGTCCCGTTGCAGCGAGCATCCTGATCAGTTCACTTTTGTTTTTGTTTTTCTTCCCTATTATGTGCTACTTATATGTATGTAAATGCCTGTATTTGTGTGATGTACATTGTAATAAATGTATCACTCTATCTTTCTTTACTTTTCATTACGGTATCTTAAACTTAAAATACAAGCAGACTAATTACGATATGACCTTTCTACCTGCTACTTGCTTCATAACCTACTTGCAAAGACAGGTTGGCTAACAAAATCAACAACAGCCATTCTTCTGGTCAATCATCAGGCAAGCTCGCCTATCATCGGTCCATCAGATCAATGCAACATTATCTTCCGTGTAAACAATTGTAGTCTTGTACGCACGACTGGCTTTGATGGCTCATAGATCAAAAATACAGAGACTCTACATTTGGATGGGGTTTTCTGCCTACATTAGAGATCGAGATTTACACGGTTGATGAAACCTACAAGGGGTTTTACCTTTACTGCCTATAGTAGTGATCGTTTACACGATGTGCTTACTTTGCTGCTTGCCTTAGTTTTTGGTAATGCTAATGATAGAAGGTTATCTTAACTTTGAAGTGATATACAATTCAATTTTATAAAACGACGAGTTACTCACTCCAATGATCTTGATTCAGTTTTTAAGTGACACTTTAAAATATCCACTCATTTAGAGTGAATATTAGGTTACGGGCTATACATATTATACCTTTTACTTACTTATCAATAATACGAGTACCTAATTCGTAATTATTTGTCTCACCTTTTGAATCTGAATTATTTACGGTATATGAAATTGGATTATCTGAAATCCTCTTATTTGTTATGGTTAGTACAAATACTATTTAAATCTTGAAAAAACTTTTATTTCTATTTTCGCCCAATGACAATAAAGTTCTTTTTAGGTATCATTTCTTTTGTCACCTTCTGCAAGTCACTTACCTAATCTTTGGCCCATTTACGTATTGTCGCTCCAAATGTCTTTGATTAATGAGGTTTGTGATCGAATCGCATTATAGTTAACTATATAATACTTATGTAACGAAAGCGTTAGCACACGTACCAGAATGTTTACGTTCCATTTGCTTTAAAAACCAACAAGTTACAACAGCACGTGGTACGTGGAAAGTGTACACGCTTTTTAATTCTATAATTGCTTGCATTGTTTATTGCGTTTCAGAACGATGGAATTGATCGTATTTGAATTTGTAATTATTTCTATGATTAGCGGTTGAAAAAAAGCGATCTTTAAGTAGCTGATATTGATACAGGTAATAAATAAATTGTACCATACAGCTAACAGAGAGGTTTCGGAGGTTCACATTATAAGGCTTGTAGTGGCACAATATACACGTTTATGTATCCTCGTAAGACCGAAGAGTAAATTGTGTCNTCATTCAATTAGCAATGATACAACATTTTTATAGATTTTTCTTTGAATATTACAGAATCAGTCAGGGTTCATTTGGTCATAGACTATACAGGGAGTTAAAAACTTAAAAACAGTGAATCTGCCGAACTAGCTATAAGTAATATTAAAATTAATACGTATATTAATTTATAGTAATAAATTACAATGTTAGAAGTGAATTGAAGTGATTGTAATGTACCTACTGTAACTGAGCATGATTAGGTATAATTAACATATTATTATGTTTACTAGTGTAACTTGAGTAATTCGGTCTAAAATAAACCTATTTCCCCTTATATTAAGTTAACCTGGTGTTGATCAGTTTAAATTGACATTCATTATCGAAATGTTCATTCATTCATTTTAAACAAGTGTTCATCGCGCGTTTAACATGTTTGTAGTAAGGCACTTGTGTTTTAGACATTTAAGATGTATTTTCATTAAGATACGTACTTAGGTACTTATTAGAAATGTTTAAATGCTATTCATTTCAACAAGTTTTTTGGCCTAACACCCTTATCTAAGGCTTAATTTTCTTGCTTAATGAAATTATTTTCCTAAAATTAATTTTCTAAACATTTGAGCCGAAATGACATTTTTAAGAAAATATTTTTGGAACCATTTTAATTACAGTATACATAAAAGAGCAAAGTGTATTAAAATTTTAACTGCAAATATTTTATTATAAAGTAGAATTTATCAAAATAAATGATTCAATAACATTTTTTGTAGACAAATTAAATCCCTCTGTTATCAAAAGTACTCTATTGAAAAAGTTTACTAGAATGAGAGGAGAAAAATTATTGGAATCTCTTATCTATCTGCTTGCATTAAAAATACGGTTTCATTGGCTTCCTTCTGAATTTATTTAAATAAATAATAAATAAATATCCTTGGACATTTTACACTGCGCTTCTAGTCCCAAACTAAGCAAAGTTTGTACTATGGGTACAGACAACGGGTAGTAATAAAATTTAGAATGTATAAAAAAGTTTTATTTTCAGCTTCACGGCGAACCGTAAAGTTTCAAATTCATATCATATTCTGACAATGAAATAGATGAATATGAATGAGCTACTTGATAGGCGAACGTCTTAAATGAATGTATAATTTAATATATCATTTTTCGCACCCACGTGCGTAACGTTGTATATTAGCGTGTAGACATTATCATAAAAGTATATGAGTAGGTAGATAGGTATAGATAAGTAGGTACTCTTGCTTTATCGCTTGGAACCAGAGCTTTTAAGAGAGCGCAGGGACGCTCTCTAGGGGTTTTAGCAGAAATATGTTCACATAAAACTGTAAACAATCATTATTTTATCATCATCATTTCAGCCATGGTAAGTCCACAGAGGCAGAAGCGGCCACTGAAGAAATGCATTTCTTCAGTGGTTTTCTTTCTTACCCTTATTTACACTATCATTTAGTGCGAAAATAATGGAAATATTATTACACCAATCACAGGGGAGCTGAGTTTGATTAGAATTTTGACGCCACGCACAAACGTTACTATGAGGTTACACAGTGCGCAGGGTCGCACAGGGTCACGAACCAATCACAGAGCTTTATTCAACGCTGTGCGTTTAATTTGCTGCTTCACTTAAGCAAGCATCGTTTGTGAATACGGGCCTTACCAGATAATAATCTTTTGTTTATACTTTGTATGAAGCACATCAAGGGAACAAACGCGGAAATTATTAATTATGAATGACAGGCATTATACTCCTTTTCTAAATAAAGATTATTGACACACTCCCAGTTTCCCAAAAGAACTGGACCACGTTCCGAGGCCATGTGTAAACAAATTATTGTGTACATAACAATACGGAACACATTTTGTTTTCCCAATTTAGTAACAGAGCGTAAAAAGATATTATTAATATCCTAAAACAAAACACGATAGAAAGAGTATAGTTACATTTATTTATATTCTGACGTCAAAAAAGATCTAAAGGCTCTTGTTAGTAGAACAATTTTATTACACGTTAGAAGTACGATACTCACTCAGGAAAATGTAAACAAGACACGTGGATGGATAACAATTGACGATTCATGTCTTGATTTTTTACCCAACTACTTTGAAGCCAAATAAATGTATGTCGAGGGACAATTACGTTAGAATATGTATAAGTATAGAAAAGTAAAGGAAGACACGTGGATGTATACATCTTACATCATCATAAATGTATACATCTATGTCACAATTGACTATTGGCTTTTTACCCGACTACTTCGAAGCCAAATATATGTACTCGTACGTTTGTATTTACGGATGTTATTTTGACGAATAAGGTGTCAATCGATTCACTATTTTGACCCGGGCAACATAGGCTACATTTTATTAAGGCAACACACGTAAGTTATGAAATTGAATTGATTGCAATCGTTGGTAGCCTTTTTAAAATAAGACTCCACTCATGACTCTACATTACCCAACTAAGAGCCACGTTGTCTTATTTTAAAAGACACATTAACACACTCATCCCGGTTTTCCGTTAGCAAATATTTATACACTAGCTTTTGCCCACGGTTTCACCCGCGTGAAATTTCGTTTGTCACAGATTGTCATAATTTATAGCCTACTACATGTTATTCTATTGTATGTTATTATTATTATATGTTATTACTACTATATGTTATTCTGGGTTATAAAGAATACTGTAAAGTTTCATCAAAATCCGTTCAGCAGTTTTTGCGTGAAAGAGTAACGAACATGATAAATAAGAACACAACAATTAATCAGTTTGCATAATTATTTAGATTCCCTGTAAATCTGATTGATAACCAAATTTATCGAACCATAATAAATATGAATTACAATTTCTACTACATTTGGACAAATAACTCGTAAATCTAATACTTACACAAATACATTGTATGGGATATTGGTGTTTTTGAGTAAAATTCATTTATTTTCTGAAAGTAGGTTTTTAAAGAGAAAAGAGCTGTTCCCAACATATCCCAATCGTGAGATTAAGAATGTGTCATGTATGAATGTGCGGACAGAACATCAATCTAAACGCTGTGCCATTTTATGTAGTAAGTAGTATTAAAGAAGAAAGAATGAAAGAAAGAAAGAGCGACTGTTTATTCAGTATAATCGACAATACATTTAACATACAACAATACTTAAAAATAAATGTACGTACAATGATACTACGTACCATTCTGCTATCGACTGTACGTCATGATTGTTATGATGAAAAGCTCGTATGACAAAACGAGTGCTAAACGCACAGAAGAATCGCTCTTTTGTAAAAGACCTAAAGCTCACAATCCTGTGCTTGATCAATCACTTCTCTTTGTTTCAGAGCCTGGTCTTCCGCGTGATGACGCACCCGAAGGTGCCAGAGTTCCAGCAGTGCGTCTCCTTCGAAGCCTTCGCCAGTCAGCACCAGGAGTTGGCCTACAACGTCTTCTGTCTTTGCGCCATGTACTTCCTCCCACTGATGATCATCACCGTCTGCTATGCTTGTATCTTCTATGAGATCTCAAAGAATAGCAAGGAGAATTCTGGTAAGAACTGGCTATTGATGCGATCAGACCGTGCGGGCCGCAGACCTGAGAACGCATCTAGTGTGGCAAATCCTTAATAAGTACCCTTACAATGGGCCCCATAAGAAGGCTTAAAGTTACCCAAGGGACGATAAAGCACGCTTCCCTAAATGATCGAATCAGAAATGAGGAGATCCGTAGGGAAACCAAAGTAACCGACATAGTCCGCAGAATTGCCAAAATTATGCGGCAGTGGGCGGGGCACATCGTAGATCTGATGGCCGTTGGGACAGTAAAGTTCTTTGAATATTTATATATTTCATTTATTATGTCTACAAAAGTTTTAGGCAAATTCTTAGTTTTTGCAATAGCTCTTCGTTAATTTGCAAATCACAAACTTTCACAAACGGGTATCGTGTATCGGATTTATGACACCATCCTAATGGGCATCCTTTCCTGTCATTAATTACAACCATTAATATCACTTAAACCCGTCTTTGACCGCCTCCCACAAAATTAGAGGTACATAAGTAACGAAATTTCAAAAGGAAAGGAATTTTATTGTGTAGGAAAAGTATCAAGTTATTAATTGCTTTCCTTCCCACCAGGTAGGCTTCGGTTTGTAGACGAAAGGCAACACATCGCGTGTCCCTCGGGAAATTAATGATTTTTCGGGATAAAACGTGGGGGGTAAGTAATTCGGGATTCGTTCATATGTAGCTTGGCAACGGATGAGTAACGACAGCCGACTATCTATACCACGTAATTACACACGCAAAATAATTACATGTATTATCCCTCAAATAATAGTGCTTTTCATGAACTTTCAAGGAAAACTATAACGGTTATGATAGATCAGTTAGTTTCAGAGTGATACTACGACTATCACTTATGAGTTAAACGACTTTAACTCGTGTATTATAAAATTTCTTACCTAATAAAAAAATCTTAAGAAAGAAAATATTGAAAGTGACTTTAGATGAAGTAATTGCATGCTTCTGAAATGTATTGTGGTAACGACAGACAACTATGGAACCGACACGATACCACAGAATAAGTACGATACTCACTTGGTAAATTTTTTCGACTCTAACATTTTATTTACTGGTTTTTGACTTAGGTACATTGCTATAAATAATGTGTGTAGGTAGCTGTAGAATTTTCCAGTGTGTAAGTGCTACAGCCGCTTTTGTTTCTAAATAAATAATGGACTTCTACCGTTTCATGTAGGTCTGTACTCTCCATCAAGTAAATAAATGGCTAGAAGGCCATTTCACGTATGAGTTAGGTACTTGAATAAGTAAAGCCAGTAGATATTCAGGCAAGCAGTTATTTTTCTGAAAATAAAATGAGAAGTTTGGAGTAAAAACAGTTCTGAATATCATACATAACTAACATTCAAAATAAGTAAAACTTTCTTTGGTGAATGAATTAAACCAGATAGGTACTCTTAAACCAAGTCTCGTAGTATAGTTTACTCGACGGACTGACGACTTTCAAAATAAAGATGTCAGAGACTGGAGTAAAAATTATCGTGCTTTGTGGCGCTCCTTGATTGTGTTTATTATGTAAAAAAGTTCTTGCCTAATAAACTGACTAACGCCCGTATTCACAAACATTACTATGACGTCTCACAGTGCACGTGGACGCACAGGTAACACACGAACCATTTACAGATCTCTATTCAACGCTGTGCGTTCGATTTGCTGCTTCACTTAAGCTAGCATTTTGTTTGTGAATACGGGTGTAACTTTTGTCTCTTGTCTCTCCATTCACAATGATTAAATTACTAAGTCGTTGTTCATTTGCCTGAGTATAATACCTATACAAATTTCAGATTTAACAGAGAGGAATCGTGATCCTAACTTGTCTTATTTAAGACTTGAAGGACTTTCGGATTATAAGACTTCTGATGTTTCAGAATTTAGGGAAGAAAACAAAGTTTAATAGGGGTTTGTATATTTGTTAAATTGTAAGGGGTAATCTTGGGATCTACTGAACCGATTTTAAAAATTCTTTCACCAATAGAAAGTCACATTATATTATTGCTGAGTGTCATAGGTTATACAAAAAAGCCGAAAAATTCCACGTGGACGAAGACGTGGGCGGAAAGCTAGTCTCTAATAAAAAGGAATACTGTAGGACAAGTTTGTATGAGGGTAAAGTTAAACTGATTCAAAATTATGACCACGACCACACTGACAAGAGTGTACCGACTGAGAAGAAGAAGAAAGTTAAACTGTCATAATTATGTACTAAGTACCTATCTGCAACGAAATTAGTCACAAGAAAATAGAAGGGCTTCCTAAAGACCGACATCACTCCAAAGCAAAACGGATGACAGATGACAAGCAAAGGTGTGGGTGGATTAGGCAATTAGGCAAAGCTTGTCTAGGCGAATTTATGAAAATCTGTTGTTTAACATTTAAATAAAGGCTTAACTACTAGGTAAACCCAACTCGAAATGAAATGTAAATACCCACTATTCCGGGAAACGCTACGAGCGCTTTCACGTTTAAGCGATTTTAGCAGAGCGACAAACGCGCTGCCTAAAAAATTTCATACTTACAATGTAACAGCGGAAGCATGCCTTCATCCTACTAGTCCTACTAATATTATAAATGCGAAAGTTTGGATGTCTGGATGTTTGTTACTCTTTCACGCAAAAACCACTGAACGGATTTTGATGAAACTTTACAGTATTATTGTTTATAACCCAGAATAACATATAGGTTGCAATTTATGACGATCTGTGACAAACTAAATTTCATGCGGGTGAAACCGCGGGCAAAAGCTAGTGTTATAAAAACGCCGCTGCCGCGCTGCTGTCGCGCTTCTAACGCCCTAATATGAAAGCGCTCTACAATTACATAGAAATAACCTCAGATCATAGTTTCTATGATCTGAGGAAATAACCCTCTCTCGACACCTTCCGAAAATTCGACAATTGAATTGTTAGGTTACCGATTTTTATTGCTTTACTGTGAAAATGTAGATGAAAGGATAAAATATTTTGTTCACAGCGAAAGGTCTTTTGTTGTACGATTCAATAAGCTAAGGGATGTTGAACCTTTCTTAGGAATTTGTTTGTCCAATGTATTTGGTAAAACTACTTGTTCGACTAAAGTAAGGAATTATAATAATGTCACTTCACATTCCCGATTTACTTTCATAGTTTAGTGATTGGAGAATTGAAGTCATTCAAGTAAGAGGTTATCAGTTCAATTTATGAATACTTAAGGCTTGGTTGCACCATCTTACTTTAACTTTAACAAATGTCAAAAATCTGTCAAACTCCATACAAAAAGCACCGGTTATCGTCATAGTTACCGTCAAAGTTAGATGGTGCAACTCACCCTAAGTATTTACATAGTTAGGTTATAACATCAAATGATTGAATGATTTTGAAAGAATTTTGTTCTATGCCTCGTTAGGCTGCGAAGCTGCGACCAATGAGGGTTTTCGCGAATGAAAGATCCGCTTGATGGCGGGATGTGGATGTGGGGTCTGACTGCTGCGTGATTGGTGGATTTTGACATATCTGTCAATGTCATGTCAAAAATAACCAATCCATTTGGACCTCGCGTCTACGTATTGCCATCTGGCGGATTTTTCATTCGCGAAAACCCTCATTAAAGCTTGTGAAACACAAATAATGGCTGCTCTTAAACAACAGATTGACCTCAGAAATGTTACTTATAAATCCACATGATTAATGATTGATAATAATTATTGAATATTGTTAAACTATTTAGGATTTAATATCTTAGATATTCACCAAGCTATCAAACAAATGGAAAGTAAAGGTGGCATATTGAAAGTAGGTGAGTAAGCAATCAATATTAATATTTCTTTGATATTAATGGTACATGGATGAGAGTATATTTATTTCTTCCTCAATATTAAGCTTGGGGGCGCGCAATAAATTACAGAGCCCATCATAAATTATGTAAAAAGGATGTTTTCCTTCTTTACCATGATTCATCGCAAAATGGTAAACTATAGCATACCAACTTATAAGACGTGACAAGTTGACATCCATTTTTTGTTAAAATCAGGCAGCAAGGAAATTCCAGGAAGACTTTTATAGAATTATGTAAATGTAAATACTTTGTTACCTACATAATGGTTGTAATAGGTATCTGGTTAGATATTGTGTGGTTAAAAACCTAGTTACCGGAGATAGTATATAATGTTGACGTCAGTAATCACATCATAATCATAACCATTTAATTTTACTCATTCAAAATTAAGAAAGTATTACAGAATGTCACGTAGTAGGTACTCGTACAAAATATTCTTAGGTAGGTACCTACAGTCTTGATACACCTTAAAGGTATAATTATGAACAATTTGTAGTCAGTTATCCCAACTAATATTATAAATGCGAAAGTAACTCTGTCTGTCTGTCTGTCTGTCTGTCTGTTACGCTTTCCCGCTTAAACCTCGCAACCGATTTTGATGAAATTTGGCATAGAGATAGTTTGAGTCCCGGGAAAGAACATAGGATAGTTTTTATCCCGGTTTTTGAAACAGGGACGCGCGCGATAAAGTTTTTTTGTGACAGACAAAATTCCACGCGGGCGAAGCCGCGGGCGGAAAGCTAGTTTACAATAAAAGTTTGTAATTATTTTTCGAAAAGTATGAATTAACATACCTAGTGACATAAATGAGTTAAAGAATCAAAACTATATTCTCTTTGCCTCAATCTCCCCTACTGGGCCATCATGATAGCCTTTATTGAATTTACTCAAAGCACTTTGCTCTATTTTCATCGTTTATTGGCAATCTAGCCAGTTTCCGTGAACTGTAAAACACGGATGCACTTCAAAGGTAAATAACCGGTACGGTTAAATTTTAATACGGTCATCCTGTCTTTTGCGGCTGTCGCTTTTACTTGGGTAATCATTAATTTTATTAAGAAGCAAACACATCACACGTTTGTTCTCATAGTATAAACGTTAAGCGGTACTTATATGGCACTCATTTTTCATACTTCCGCTTCTGGAGTGGAAGCAGCCACTTGAAAGCTTGACGCATTAGGGAAGAAATGTGTAAAAAAGTTCTACCGTTACTGTTACCCTAATGTGTCAGAGCGTTTATTGACTGTTTTTCTGAATTGGATTAGGCTCAGGGAACAGGAATTTGTAGTTAGTTATTAACTGACAGCGAAGGCAATTCCAAAGACTAATATTTGGTGAACTATTTGCACTGGAACGACCGCGATATGCGTCAGAACATTCAACGCAGGGCAGTTGCTGAGAGAGAAGATCAACAGACGATTGTGATCGATATAATCAATTAATAATGAAGAGCCATAATGTTTGTAACTTTCTAAAATAATGACGTGTAATTGCTTTTGTTCATAGAAAAGCACCAGCAGTCCGACCACAGCAGAGTGATGCTGAGGAGATCAGACCAGAGGCCGCTGGCGAGGGCTCGTCGGAGGACGCTAAGGATGACCGTCACCATCGTCACAGTCTTCGCTTGCTGCTGGCTGCCATATGCCACCATGACTCTATGGTAAGACCAGCAGTCTGACCATAGCAGAGTCATGCTGAGGAGGTTCAATCAGCGCCTGTTGGCGAGAGCTCGCCGGAGAACGCTGAGAATGTCGGTCACCATCGTCACAGTCTTCGCCTGCTGCTGGCTGCCGTATGCCACTATGACTCTATGGTAAGACCAACAGTTTGACCACAACAGAGTGACGCTGAGGATGACCGTCACCATCGTTACAGTCTTCGCTTGCTGCTGGCTGCTATATGCCACCATGATTTTATGGTAAGATCAGCAATCTGACCACAGCAGAGTGACGCTAAGGATGACCGTCACCATCGTCACAGTCTTCGCTTGCTGCTGGCTGCTGTATACCATCATGACTCTATGGTAAGACCATAGCTGAGTCATGCTGAGGAGGTTCAACCAGCGCCTGTTGGCGAAAGCTCGCCGGAGAACGCTGAGAATGTCGGTCACCATCGTCAAAATCTTCGCCTGCTGCTGGCTGCCGTATGCCACCATGACTCTATGGCAAGACCAGCAGACTGATCACAGCAGAGTGACGCTGAGGATGACCGTCACCATCGTCACAGTCTTCGCTTGCTGCTGGCTTCCATACGCCACCATCACTCTATGGTAAGACCAGTATAGGTCGTTTCATTTACGTAGACGCGTCCCACCATTTTTCTGCTAATGTTTGAGTGTTATTCGTACACGCTATAAGTATGATCCATGAGTGCACACGCACACTTCAATAATGACGCTCGGATTGCTCGGATTGCTCGGATCAAACTCCCCGCACCCCGTGCTTCCCTCGACCAAAAATTTGTGTGGCGCGTCTTCGTGAATGAAACGATCTATAGTCTGACCACAGCAGAGTGACGCTAAGGATGACCGTCACCATCGCCACAGTCTTCGCTTGCTGCTGGCTGCTGCATGCCACCATGACTTTATGGTAAGTTAAAATTAAGAAGCTTTCCTGTTCCTTGTGTGACTGTCTGAAAATGTAGTTGTATGTAACGCACCTATTACTAATCTGATATCGAACGACATAATATTTTGAAATGAAAAAAACACTTTTTAACTAATAAATTATTTGGTAAGGAGCTGAAATCGCTTTTCCGTGAAGGGAAATTAAATATATCACGAGGGTCTATATCTCTTTGTCACATTTTTCTTTGTCGAGGGGGCTGTAATTGGCAGTTGACTGGAATCAATAGCCACTGGTGAGTGACTAATGTCTGATATGGATTTCCTATTCTACGAGTATTCTCATTTATTCTAAAGATGGTTAGGTATTTATTTACTTTCTGCAATAACGACGCATCTATGAGTGCACATGCACACTACAATAATAACGCTCTGATTGCTCAGATCAAACTCCTCGCACCCCGCGCCTCTCTCGACCAAAAAGTGGTGGGGCGCGTCTTCGTGGATGAAATGATCTATATAATATAAGAAAATATATAATAAATAATAAATAAATCTTTGGACAATTTCACACAGCGCCAGTTAGCCCCAAAGTAAGCAACTTAATGCTTGTGTTATGGGTGCTAGCTTAACGGATATACTACTTATATACTTTTTTTTAAATACATACATATTATACATAGTCACACCCAGACCCGTCACAGAAATCAAAATTCATCATTTCAATTTCTGCCCGGCCGGGAATCGAACCCGGGACCTCTCGGCATAGTAGTCCGTTCTGAACCACTACACCAAACGGCCGATATGTAATTAAACTCTAGTACAATTAAGTATTATTACTGTTCATTGACCTAGATCAGAGGTGACCGCCATCAAATTAAATGCCTCCTAAAGTTACGGAAACCGTTTTTCCCTTAAAGTAGTCAATTAAAAGGCTCTGTTGAAACAGGTGCTGCTCATTGAGAACAAAATGGAAAATGTATTTTTGAACGAATTTTTATATCAATCATAAACTCAGAAATGTATTCAGTTCTAGAGCAATTTAACTGCTAGTCAAAATAATTATAAACATCACTCTACATTACTTTTATGTGCAAAAGTTTAAATAAATAATATAAATAATTATGTTTTATTTATAGAGATCACCACAAGTAGACGTCACAATATCTTCATATAATAATTAGTAATGTATAAATATAATTTACCATAGACAGACCAATCAAATACGAGTAGATAATTATTCAGATTGAAAATAGATTTAGCTATAATCACAATGCATGTGTTGAAATTGAGTAAATATAGATTCAATTATACTTAATTTACTTTGAAACTATGTATTGCAAATTTTTATATTTATAACTATGCACTCGATAACAATAAACTACAACTTCAGAGATTCGTAACTATGGTATTGTTATTTACTTATTTAGTTATGAATAGGAATAATAACATTAGTAGATAAAACTTTAGTGACGAGCTTTTCGAATATAAGCACTTCGATGTTTTTAAGATCGAAAGATGCAAAAATAAAGCTTTTATTGTGAACTAGCGGCCGCCCGCGACTTCGTACGCGTGGATCTCGTTTTACCCCCCCTTCATCTATCTTACGCGGTTCAGATTTTTTCATACAAATGTTTTTTCCCGCTAACTCCCGTTTCCGTGGGAATTTTGCAATATCCTGTAGTAACTAAGCTTTAAGTTTACTAAGGTACCTGCATGCCAAATTTCAAGCGTCTATCTTACGCGGTTTAGATTTTTCATACAAATATTTTTCCCGCTAACTCCCGTTCCCGTGGGAATTTTGCAATATCCTGTTGTAACTAAGCTTTATGTTTATTAAGGTACCTGCATGCCAAAATTCAAGCGTCTAACTTAAGCGGTTTAGATTTTTCATACAAATGTTTTTTCCCGCTAACTCCCGTTCCCGTGGGAATTTTGCAATATCCTGTTGTAACTAAGCTTTAAGTTTACCGAGGTACCTGCATGCCAAATTTCAAGCGTCTAACTTAAGCGGTTTAGATTTTTCATACAAAAAGATTTTCCCGCTGATTCCCGTTCCCGTGGGAATTCCCAAGTATCCTATAACTTGCCCAAGAGTATGAAGAATAATTGTACCAAGTTTCGTTAAAATCCGTCGAGTAGTTTTTGTTTCTATAAGGAACATACAGACAGACAGACAGACAGACAGACAGACAGACAGACAGACAGACAGACAGACAGACAAAAATTTTACTGATTGCATTTTTGGCATCAGTATCGATCACTAATCACCCCCTGATAGTTATTTTGAAAATATATTTCTTGTACAGAATTGACCTCTCTACAGTGTGCCTACCATGAGTTTACGTTAGGTGTGCTCGCTAGCGACTGCGTAAAAAAATGACATTTAAATGTGTGACATATTGTGCAGCGCCCCTAGCGGCTACTTTCAAGAAATAAATCTTCATAGAATTTTTTGACGTATTCGCTAGCGAGCTCACCTAACGTAAACTCATGGTAGGTACACTGATTTATTATAAGTATAGATAACGTATAAAATATTACTTTTTAAAAATTAATAGTCAAAGTCATGTTCTTAAATATTCAGAATAACCTCAAGGCAGACTATTAAGTCTGATTTTAAATCTAGTTCGTCTTGATTTTAAATTTAGTAGCAGCGTCGCTTCGTACTAGTCTTTACTATTATTCTTTCATTAACGTGAAACGCCGGAGTGTATATTTAAAGGAACTATTTTACTGTAACTATAAATTCCCGTTTTTCTCAGTGTCGCGGCACAATTCTCTTTCCATTCTCCATCAAAGCTTCTTATTTGTTTTTTGTGGGACATAAAGCCTTTTTACGATGTTAACGCCTTGTTGGCGGCAGTAAACATAAAATGTTTGACTCATCATGATTGATGCCAAGCTATTTGTAACTCAGCCAGTGCACCTCAAGTGTGTGAGGATGCTTTTGTGACGGTCAAGGCCCCCTTAATTTAATTTATTGTCCGTGGTGCAAAATCTTTTCTTATAGGTTTTAAACCTTTGTTTGTCACCTGTCATCCGCTTTGCAATGGAGAGAAGTCGAACCTTAATTTCGAACTCCTCCTATGTTCTTCTGATTAATTTCGTTGCGGGTCCAATGACAGTTTAACTTTCCCTCGGGACAAACTTGACCTTCACTGGTTGGGTTTTTGTGGCGGTCAAGCTGTAGATCCTGGCTACATAGGAGTTGCAGTGGTGGGAACGAGAGGTGGGAATAGTCCCGTGTTTTTTTGTGACGGTCAAACGTCAGTGAGACTTCAGATCTCCTTCAGATTTGTATGGATTGTCACGTCAAAGTGTCAATATCACCGGTCGCGGTGCCGCTCTCATACCTCAGGCACTGACTGAGTCAATCGCTAGAACTATAAGGTCGTGGTCGTATTTTACGTGGGACCTCTTAGAGCTTAGTAAGCCTTTTTATTAGACGAGAGCGACTAAAGTAAACTAGGATGGATAAGTAATCCTCTCTACTTTTAGAAGGCTTATTGAGTAATTTTGTTAAAAGGCAAATAAATAAAACCTTTTCATTTAGATAAGTGATTTACAAATCATATATCTTTGCGGCTTCATTCAACTTTCCGTAAAAACCTACAGTGCTTATTTTTTTTCCACTTCTAAATGTCTTTTCTGATATCAGATTATATATTTTCAGTGTTGTTCAATTATCTAAATAAGTAGTAAAGTTATAAATTATTTATTTATTTATTTATATAAACTTTTATGCCAAAATAAATTTGTACATAAGGCGAACTTAATGCACTAAAGCATTCTCGACCAGTTTACCTTTGGGTTGAGCAGAAAAGAAATTACACAAGAAATAAATATTTAGATTAAATCCCACAGCAAAAGTGCTTAATAGGAAGATTCAAAATCGGCCCTAAACAAATAATATATACCAGCATTACCGTTTTTAAATTAAAATACACAAAGGAGGGTTCTTTTTTCCTTTGATAAGTTTCCATCTTCAATTTTTCTGGAGAAATTCCAGATTTTCAATTATGGAGGTTAGTCTCAAATTCACTGTTAATATTTTTGTCAGTCTGTTTCACCTTGCATTTATTTATTCAAATTCAAATTATGACGACTATGACGTGCCCCCGTTATGATGGAATCAGGAATGAAAAGAACCTTTAGGAGAATCAAAGTAACTGACATAACCCGCAAATTTTTTGTTATCCACAACGAGGAAGCTCTTGGCCTGTATCTCACCTGATGGTAAGTGATGATCAGGCCGAAGGTGGAAGCGAACTTAAATCGTCGTCGTCGTCGTGGAAATCCGTGGGGAGGCCTTTCTCCAGTGTAGGCTAGTTTCCTAAAAAAAATTTTTACTCCGTCTATTGTCATTCTTACGAACATTTTTAAAGTTATGGTGCGTTGAAGTTCCGCGCGACGTCACAAAGTGCTGCACTTTAATTAAGCACTCATTCCCGCCACGGGCGAGTCGTCGAGTATTTTTTGATAAGTTAACTGACGGACTAATTAAAATCTTGCTTTTACCCAGGAAACATTCCTGTTTCACCCTGACTTTCTTTCCAGGTACATGCTGGACCGTCAGTCGGCAGAGCACGTGTCAGCCAGGTTGCAGGATCTGTTCTTCATCATGGCGGTATCCAACTCCTGTATGGACCCCCTGGTCTATGGGACATACACCCTGGATCCGAGGACTCTCACACGGACAGCGAGGAAGATCTTTTGCATACACGCTCCACATTCTGAGATACCTGGTAAGATCAAGTTTTTACATTTTTTTTATTAAAGTAAAAAAGTGCTTTAACATGTTTTTTAGGGTTCCGTAGCCAAATGGCAAAAAACGGAACCCTTATAGATCCGTCATGTCTGTCTGTCTGTCCGTCCGTATGTCACAGCCATTTTTTTCCGAAACTATAAGAGCTATACTGTTGAAACTTGGTAGGTAGATGTATTCGGTGAACCGCATAAGGATTTTGATGCAAAAATAAAAAAATAATAATAAATATTGGGGGCTCCATCCATACTTAGAACTGAAACTCAAAAAAAATTTTTTCATCAAACACATACGTGTGGGGTATCTATGGATAGGTCTTCAAAAATGATATCGAGTTTTCTAAAACATTTTTTTTGTAATCCGAATAGTTTGCGTGACAGACGCTTCCATAGTGGAAATATTTTGGTCCCCCCTCTACCTTCTAAAATAAGAAATTGAAAAATCTAAAAAAAAAAACATATGATGTACATTACTATAAAAACTACCAACGAAAATTGTTTAGAACGAGATCTAGTAAGTAGTTTTTTTAATACTTCGTAAATCGTACACCGTTTAATTATTACCGCGTAATCTTTCATACTAATAACTTAACACGTAGACTGTCAAAGTAAATTTACGAATTCGCCAAAATTGAACTTTTTGCTAATCGATGTGTAATGGCTTGAAATAATAAATAAATAAATTCTTTATTGAATAACTTATGTGACAGTTTAAACTTTAGGCTAATCTTATGCTACAAAAGGAATTCATTTTATAATAATTTTAATTTCATCAATCAATGGTACGGAACCCTCGGTACGCAAGTCCGACTCGCACTTGGCGGTTTTTCTATTACTCGTTCACAAGTTCTCAGAATTTGGAAAATATTAATATTTGCTTGCAGCAAGCATTCGCAGACTTACAAAACGTTTTTTTTCTGATATCATTTCAATAGGTAAAATAAATCTACAGTAAGTATTTCTGCTACTATTTCGTATTTGTAGGTTTCTACGAATCTCCTCAATTTCATTCATTTATAATAGTCATGAATGAGTTTTTATGAATTACTGAGGAAAACCGGAGCGGTAACCGCTCATGCCATTTTTCACGTTTATTACTAACGAAATAAATGTTTGGAATAATTTTTTTCTGTGTATCCTGAGGCAAATAAAGGAAAATACAGGGAATGACAAATTCAGGTCATATTATTGCTAAAGAACAATCTCCCGTGAATTTCAGATGTTTATTTATTGAAAAAGATAGGTACACCAACGACATATAATTTTACATGCATAATACAGTGTCGATTAGGTATGTTTTTCCGTAAACGTGTCCTTGTATAACTGGTGTTACTCTGGAAAATTCAAAGTATACAGGTAAGTAAGTAGGTAAGTAGGTACGTTATTTACTCGTATTAGGCTGAGTTGCACCAACTTATTTTAACCGTAACAATAACAAAAACCGGTGCTTTTTTGTATGGAGTTTGACAGATTTTTGACGTTTGTCAAAGATAAAGTAAGATGGTGCAACTCAACCTTAGTCATATTATTGTTTCACTCTCATGGTAACTTTTCATTACTTTATTTGGCCTGCATTCGATAAACTATTTTCGCTAACCGATTGGAACGCGGGAGAGCATTCAGCGTACGTTTCCTTTGAGAGATTGTCTTTGATCAAAAATGTTTTATGCGAACTGACCGAACCGAATATTTTCATTGGTCAATAAAATTAAATAGTATTTACCAATTTTACTTCTCCCATACTGTATAATATGGACTGAGTTATTTTGACTAACGAATTTTGATTTATTTATTTAAAAATCTAAAAACACTTATGTAGAACTTGAAACTAATATTAGTACTAAGAAAATAATTATTAAGCTAATCAACATCAAAGATATTGTTGACACATCTCCCAGCAAATATTTGAGTGCAATCTGCAATAAAAATGTCAAAGGGCGGTTTATTCCTTCGTCGGTTATTAAGTTTGTCGAAAGGTCATAAAAAATATACCAACATTCTGACGTAACTTTGATTAGTTTCATTTCAGCGTTAATTTTGATGTCAAAAGAGACTGCTAAGTACATCTCTGTCGCTTTTGTAACGTAATAACAATTCTACTCGTATAGACTAAGAGCTGGTGAACGTCTGACCTACGTAATTTTATAAAAGCTGAAAGTTTGTCAGCATATGCTCCCAATATAGGTTAGAATGTTGGACGTTGGTGCATAATGAAGTTTGAGCCATCGTGGCTTTTACAAAATGACGTAGGTCTGGCGTTCACTAGCTCTTAGTCTAGTACAATACTCACAATTTACGAATGTGTATTTTAAATTCAGCTTTTATATTATTACCCAGCGCCTAAATTAGTTTTGTAAGAGACTAACACAAAAGGACACTAAACATGTTAGTTTATTCAAATTAGAACTGTGCACTCTAATTGCATTGGAACTGGGTTGCTAATTGAGTTTTGTTTACGAATGACATTTGTTTGCTTCGTTTACTTGTGTGTTGTGGCATTTGTGAGTTAAAAGCCACCGGAAAGGACTTAGGTTACGTAATGGAATTAGTGTTGACTCTTGTCACACCGTTTAACGTCCACTGTAGAGTTAGAGCGCTTTCACATTAGGGCGTTAGAAGCGCGGCAGCGGCGTTTTTATAATGTGAAGGCATGCATCCGCTGTCACATAGTATGACATTTTCGGCAGCGAGTCTGTCGCGCGTTTGTCGCGCTGCTAAATCGCCTAAATGTGAAAGCGCTCTTATTAACTTGCCTTTGTTGCCCGCGATATCGTCTACGTAACTGTCGATAAAAAGATATTATAGCCTTGTTGTGTTTGCTACCAACCAGGTGATGTAGGTATACGAGTAGATAGGTTCCGTATTCATTAAAAGTTATGAGAATTACAAATAAACTAATTAACAATAGCTATTAAAAGTAACCAAAAGTACACAAGGGTTGGCTTTTCCTTCTCAAAGGTTAATGATTTAAACGGAAATATTCAGAGGTATGGATTACTACCAAATTGTTCCGAGAAATTAAATTTAATTAAAATGTCAGATCATCTTATTTTAACCACAATGTACCGTTCAATATTGATACCAAATTCTAAGGGCCTCGTTCACCATTTCTGACTAAAGTCTCAATTATGATACTTTAAGTCACGAGTAGCAACGAAACCATGACACTGACAAGACAATTTAATAATTATGTGAAATTGAAAACAAATAACTACTACCTCTTGCTTTTATTTGTCAAATGATGTTAATCAGGAAGTAACTACTTACTTAATACTTTATCTAGACAAGCTCAATCACAACTTAAAACGGAAAACTCATACTAAATAAATATGTTTTTGATTGAAATTCTGGTGGCGCAAGCCACTAAGTTCTGTGGTTGACCACTGCGACCTAATTTTCTAGATTTGAACGGCAAAAAGCGTGTTGAATGAAATAAAATAACACAGCACTTTGAACTCCAAAAGTTATTATGTAGCCTTTGAAACGTCGTGTCAATGTGAATGTTCTACTTAGGGTGGGTTGCACCAGTTTATTTTAACTTTGACAAACGTCAACAATCTGTCAAACTCCATACAAAAAGCTCCGGTTATCGTCATAGTTACCGTTAAAGTTAGGTGGTGGCCTTAAGTTTGTGATGATTGATGGATTCATCTTTCACGCAAAAACAACTAGGGATTTTCCCGAAACATCACAATATTAATGATAAATCATAATAACATATAGCCTATGATTTATAACGATATTTAGTCGGAATTTCTGTAACGAACTGAATTTTTCGCGAGCGAAGCCACGGTCAATTCCTCGTTTCTTTGTAGGTAGGTAGTATGTATAATTGTTGCGATTCACGAAGGCAAAGGCGCGTGAGGTGGCTCGCTACTGTTCATTTTTCCAAAGTTTTGATAGACATTATACTATCGTTATGAGCACACACACGTACCTACACAAGTAAATCCTTATAAGTTTGTGATGACTACGCTGCTGCACTCCTCACGGCCATCAAAACATATGAGCATCACGTCACTTTACATTCGGTCTTAGAGCTTAAAGTTTTGAGCTTTGAGTGCACATTAATTGCTATTCATCAAAATGGAAATCTCAATACAGCTACATAATCGTTCAACGACTGCTTCTCCGAAACCTCATCGTTCTATCAGTGTAAGAGGATCTAAAAAACTTTTAAATTGAGGATTTAATTTTATTGTGTTTATTTAGTTTTTGTATAAAAATTAAGTAGGTACGAGTAGGGACTCTGAACTCTAAGATTTATTTTTACCTTTTTATTATTCAAAGCTAACTCAAGATAATTTTTGCTGGTTTATTAATCGTTCTTTTTGGTTGTAGGTATCTCGGGGCCCGAGCTTTTGAAGAGCAAAATACAAGGCAACGACATTTCATGCCATCATCATGATCATGTAAGTACCAATCTAATTAAAATCTGAGGATAACTATCATTGGGACTGAGACACAAAGTAAGGAACTCATATAACTTCGTGACAAAGGCATAATAAAATACTAATACATTATTATTTATTTGGGAGGCCTTTGTCCAGCAGTGGACATTAGTTGGCTGAAACGAACGAAATTGTTTATTACTTTAATTCAAGACTTTTCAACAGTTTGAGTCAGTCTTTTATGAAGAATTACAGTTCTTTCTAAATACATTAGAGTTAAATATAGCAGATTTACTAAATCAAGTACATTTATACAGTATTAGATGAGTCCATTGTAATAATAATAATAATAAATAGTCTTTATTTTCACAAACATTACAATGACACAAGTTATTAAGCACATTACAAATTCATAAAACACAGTTGTTTGTGTGAGACTGATGCCTGTGATAGGTATTTGCATACCTGTAGTACAGGTCATCAGGCTCCCACCACCCCAGATATTGGCACAATTTAGAATTAATTTAAGAACCGATAGTATATTACTATGACTCAGACATGGTAGTGATGCATGGCAACGTATTAACTATTAATTAACCTAATTAATCTAATCAGAAAAGGAACACTAGGATTTGTTATTGTAGTGTGTGTGTGTGTGTGTGTGTGTGTGTGTGTGTGTGTGTGTGTGTGTGTGTGTGTGTGTGCAAATGTTGTGATAGGGATAGAGACATGCGATTTTTGGTTTTACAAAGATTTTACGATAGAGAGTAATACAAAGTAATAAAAACCACCTGTTATAGGGGCCTTTTTTGGAGAAATTTATCAAATAAGCAAAAAAACACGAATTTAAAAGCAAATTTTTTTCAAAAAGTATCATTTTTTATTATTTGTTGGCATTTTTTGTGTATTTTATGTATTTTTTTAGTATCGCCTGTTATTTAGCATTATTACTGTTTTTATTTTATCAGGATATACCGCTTAGTTTAAAAGTTATTACGTTTTCTTTACAATAAGTACTTGGAAGAAAAAAAATTCTATAAAAAATTAAAAAAAAATCTCAAAAATTTTTTGACCTCTTTTTTGTCGATAAAAATAGGTCTAGTTTCATCTATTTTCATATGTACACTTTAACGTGACTCACACTGTATAAAGAGGGTCCCAGATAGAAAAATTGTGAGGATTTTGTATTTATTTTGTGACTAAAAGGCGATTGTAAAGGAAAATTGTAATTTATCGTCGATCACAATAGATTGGATAGAAACCAGTGTACCTACCATGAGTTTACGTTAGGTGCGCTCGCTAGCGAGTACGTCAAAAATCTCTATGAAGATTTTGTTTCTTGAAAGTAGCCACTAGGGGCGCTGCACAATATGTCATACAATTAAATGTCATTTTTTTACGCAGTCGCTAGCGAGCACACCTAACGTAAACTCATGGTAAGCGCACAGGTCACATTGATCTTGGTCTTTATAGAACTAGAAAACAGCCACTTAACTTAATAGTAAAATAACAATTATTTTCAACTAAATTAGCGCTACAAGAGTAACAACTTCAACGTTTAGGAATTAAAACTGATTTTCGAATTTAGGAATTAATTGAAATCAAACAATTAACTATTTTTGTTGTATTTTAATTAAGTGTAATCGGACATCAATATTTTCTTAACTAGTCGTCGGGTGCTTTAGTTGAAGGCTTTTAAATTAGCTCAATGCCATCTATAATGTTCTTCTTTGTAGGTACTTATTAGCTTTTCACAGTCATGATAACTGACTTCATGTTAATATTAACAAACATAATAATTACGTACCTACAAGACGTACATACCTGTGTTAGGAATGACACATCTTTCCTTGGATATGTTACAGGAAATGTATGAAATCCGTCATTGTATACAATTCCTAGGAATTGTGTTTAAGTCCTAAAATCACCCGGAAATGTGTGATGTAAATTATATTAGACACATTTCCTAGGAAAATTACACATTTCCTAAACAGCAATCGGAAATGTAATTAAGATATTTTTTTTACACAAAATTATTTTTATTACGCCACTTTTTGTTCTCCGAAACTTAAATGGCGCTACCGCGCCGCGGCAGCTGTATATGTGTAAGGTCGCAAGTCTAACCTAACCTAACCGAGACTTTGTTATCCAGCTACAGGAGTACTAAAACCTTCATGCCAATAATAGTTTAATAAAAGAGATGTTAAAATTAGGGATTTCCAATACTTCAGCGTAATATGTGTGATGCCGAAAGAAAGGCATGCCAATAAATTTTAGGCAAATATTTTTTTCAGCCAAAGTATAATAGTGCGAAAACAACTGTCAGGCTAAACAATAATAATTATTGTGAGTTAAAAGTACCTATCGGCCAATGTGGTTTGGCTAAATTAAATTTTATGCGTACCGAGGGGCACCCGATCACGCGACCGCGCTTGTGCCGCTTAGTTTTATAAATTTCCTAATAAAATATTGGAATTCTATAAAATTCCTAGGAAAAGTACCTATACATTTCCTAGGATATGTGCGTATTAAAAAATCTCTGAAGCAATATTTTATACATTTCCTAAATAGCTTCGGAATTGTATACATTTCCTAGGAATAGTATACAATTCCTAGAATTCATACATTTCCTGTAACAGATACATAAATAGATGTAAAGCTAAGTATTATATGTGTTACTCAGCTATAAGGCTGAGTTGCACCACCTTTGACCGTAACTTTGACGGTAACCGGTGATTTTGGTATGGAGTATGGTAGATTTTTGACGTTTGTTAAAGGTAAAGTAAAATGGTACACCCAGCCTGTGTTAAATGGTAACACTAACGTAGAGCTACCTTCAACTGACCTTACCTTAAATCATTGAAATGTGCGACTGGTTCCATAATTTTAAAATTCAAGGGAACTCCACGGCAATATCGTTCCAGGCCAGATAACGGCAGTTTCTCACTTTAATTTAATTTCTTAATGGCATACTTCCTTAATATACAGGGTGACCCTTTGCTCAAACGCAACGAGTTCAAAACTTAAAAAAAACCTCTCCTTTTGATACAAATTAAGTATTCTAATTAGTATGGGCAGTAAAATAAATTATTTTCGTTTTATTACAACGGATCAGCCTGTATATTCCATCACGATTATAATTCCAGCGGGAAACTAATTAAGGAAATTAAGAAACAAAGAGCGTAGGTTTTTTTAAATTTACTTGACAACAGTCTTAAAGAATATCGTTCGTTAAGAAAGGGCACGAAAAGTATTTTCTTTGAGGAGACGTTAAACCAGCTGTAAGCACTTTTTTCTTTTACTCCTAGGTTTATTTGTTTTAGGATTTCTTTAGGTCTCAGACGGAATTTGCTGAATTTCAATGGCGGTAAGTAATTGAGCAAAATCGGGCTAAAGATGTTTATTGAGGCGATTGCCACATGTAATTTTTACCAGATGCGAGACTTACTCAGTCTTGAAACCGATTAAAAACATTCTTATGTAGTTAATTGATTAATAGTATTTGTCACCGTATCGTATTTCGGTAGACAGTGAACATATTAATAAATTAAGTTAAACAAGGCACTGGGTAGAATCAATATCATTGAACTCTTGCCCTTTCTCCTACACGTATTCCATTATCACGTATCACGATATAGACTTTATATATCTTTATTATCTTATCAACTTATCAAATAACTACATATTATTATCTACAGCCCACGCTACTTATCTATCTTACTGAACACGTCATCTTAGAGCCCCACTGACTACAGACTTTGACGGCCAATTGTTCAGTCGGGCTGTATACGAACAAAATGAACAAGTATAAAAGTGCGCTCATTACACCGACTTAAATTGATATCGGCCGATTCCTCGCTTAAATTAGAAGCCGATCAAAACTATAGCCTGGTAAATCACTACTTATTATTCTAGAACAAAGTCGCTTTCCTGACAACTTGAAAAAATCGAACTGCCTAAGGCGGGAATCGAACCCACGACCTTTCGCTTGCCGGTACCTTTCGCTTAGACACTGGATGAACCCAAGCCGGCGTATGCACTCAGCACTGGCCCACTTATTGTCCCGACGTAGTGGTAGGGTTAATAATGGGACGTGTAAAAGTGCTTTTTAAAATCCTATTTGCAAAAATAAATGTGTTATATTGAGTATTTATCGTTCGGATTTTTAATCGTTCGATAAAAAATCTGTACCTAGTCTGCGAGGAGTCTACACTCGGCTCAAAAGACTGCGCTGTCACAACAAAGGGCCCTCGCTGAATATGTTTGCAGACCCTCTGGCTGTCTCGATTTATGCTAAACGGGTGCCTTTTTGTCACAAAAGCACAAGCAGTTAGACAACTGAGTAGCAGTAATATAATAAATGTAAAAAAAGAAAAGTCGTGTACAGACATCCTTACAGAGTAAAGATTAATGACGCCCGTATTCACAAAGCAAGCATAATCAAATCGAACGCACCGCGTTGAATAGAGCTCTGTGATTGGTTTGTGTCACCCTGTGCGTCCACGCGCACTGTGAGAGCTCATAGTAATGTTTGTGATATACGCCTCATATAATGGAATATCAGACGTACACGACTTATTTATCTCACTCTGTCGATGTTTTGCTTCCTGTCATGCCATGCAGAGTTTTCTGTTAAATAAAAAGTACCTACCTATTCTATTCTTTTCTAAATGGAGACGCCGCTGGCTCAACCTTAGAGTAGGCGCACACCGTTGATTTTTAGTTGGCCGATAGTTGTGCCCGATTTCAAATTGTATGAAGAATCGGCCAAATCGAATCGGCGTAGTGTGCGCACTCCCATACATGCCCATACTGATCTACAGCCCGACTAAACTATCGGCCGACGAAAAATCAACGGTGTGCGCCTACTCTTAGGCACGCCGCGAAGCAAACGTCGCCGCGGACCGATCCTTGATATTGTCAATATTTTAGCCTCATTAGCTTCAGGTCAAGCAGCCTCTTTTTGAGGCAGAATACTTTTTACGATGACCTGGTCTGATTAAGCTTGCTGAAGTGGATAC